AGTCGTGGAAGCGCGCAGCGAAAATGAACCTCAGTTTTCTGGTCCTCGTATGTGCCCCTACAATATGCACAAGACCATTTTGAAAAAGCTCACCACGCCCTGAACGACCTCCCTTGTCAAGAATTGTTTTGCAAATTTCAAAGATAGTTTTGAGTTCATCGTCTCAAGACGAGGTACAACGATGTGCATCTCATTGCAAATGGCCAGGCTGACCTGTTGACCTTTCCGTTGGCCGTATGCCGTACTTCCCCTCGGAGGGAAATTTCCTCAGTATCTCCGTTCTCTGCTGGTATCTCTATCAATGCCCCTAGCTCTCTGCTTCTGCCTCTTTGCATCTATCCCCCACTCTCGCGGAATCTCCCCCAATGACATTTGCTGTTGCTGGAGAAGAAGGGAGCATGTCGATTATACACCCATATTTGTGGGTTTTTGACCCCGCGTGCCAGAAGGCTGCTTCTGAATATACACGAATAGCACACTGACTTATTAGCAATACGAACGAGACCAATCCACTCGATGAGTGTTGGAAGAGCGACAGTGAGGCGACAGTCGTTGTGGAGATCGTCGGAGGAGTCGAGGAGGTCGGCGACGAGTCGAACTGCACTGCTGGACGAGAGTAGAATCCAGATTACGAGGAAAGGCCTCGATCGGCTCTAACTACCTATGACCTACGGGACTCTTACACCTCCTCCCATTCCGAAAAGGTCCGTCCTCGGACTTGAGAACGGGGGAAATGAAGAAGGAAAATAAGATAAAGTAGTCACCGAAATGGACGCCAAGTGAGAGAAAAAAGGATACCAGCTTTCGAGTAGATCGGGCAGCGATGCGGTCGTTGTTACGGCGCCGGAATTCCGCGCCCAACGGAGTAGGATGTCCCAATACGACAAGCCGACTAAGGATTTCTCATGACCGAGCACGAATTGTCCGTGGCGACAACGCGACAGGGCTACATTCAAACTGTGGGAGTCTTTGAAGACTTCCCCACGTCGGCCTGTCGTTGTCAGGAGGACTACGATATCCTTCTCACGCCCCTGAACGCTATCTACGGTGTGGATGTCAACTTGGGTACGCTTGGCGAAATGCTCTAGAAGGCGACTCTGCTCTCTTGTAAAAGACAGTTATAGCCAAAAACGCGCTTTTTTCTGAGCAGCGCCAAGACGATCTGACGGCAGACCTCGGCCTCGGCCTCACTGGGGTGTAAGCTGAAAAATGACTCTGTAGAGGAACCGGAAACGTCTACGAGAGGAAGTGCAATTCAGGATTAGGACATCTCACCGTAGATAGGAAGAGCTGGCTAACGGTTGCGGGGGTTCCGCTGACAAAGGCTAAAACATAATATTCGCAACTCATTAGCAAGAATGGCTCGTTGCGCGCCGAACGTTAGTGCGTGAGGGCGCCCGCCAGCGGAAAACTCCCTCGTATAAGCAAGTACATGCGTTGAGTGCCAAAACGCACCGCGTTTATACACAGGACGGGGCCTAAGCTGGTGAATTCTACTGATGTTGTAAATATGCGTGTAGCTTCGCCGGTAATATGAGTAGGTTGGAGCAGCAAAGCGAATTCAGCGAATGATGAGCATGCCTCACGCCTGTGAAGTGGCGCCGCATTGAGGTGACCGCAGCAAGATGCTGCAGATGAGCCAGTCGGCCACGTCGTGGCCGTCGCATTAACCGTGCCATTGTGTGAAAGAATAGAACGGCAACGATTAGTGAGAACGCCCACTATGTCTTGCAGGTGCTTAAAACGCGCTGGAGAACGCGGTGAAAAATAAGTGACGGTCAGAAACAATCGGCAAAATCTGTCGGGCCCCAGTCTGCAAGACGCGGTCTAGCTGATACTGATGGGCCGGCAGAGCTTTCATTATCTGCGACCGGACCGACTTACCGGAGTACCACTGAGGCGTATTCCCTTTAACGAAGAGGATGGAGGGCCATCACACGGCGTCGAGGACTCAGTTAACCTGTGTAGGTCGCCGTGAGCCAGCCAGCATCATGGTGAAGCGTATGGAAGAGTTGACGTATGGAGTCAGTCCGTGCAACGGCTCGGAACCCGATGCTAGGGGACCCAGCTTAACGCAAATAAGTGTGGGGTGTGGTGACGCCATTGCTCCTGGTGGGAAAGTGCTGAGCAACTTGAGCGGCCGATTTGTGTGCCCAAAACGGAACGGACAGACGGATGGAGAGAGAACGGTCTTCATTCGGTAGTTGTTGCACTATGGACCGCTAGCACGGACTCAGGTGGCGGGAGCACGCCATGATATAGAAAAGTCGAGAAGCCTGAACCGCGACGTCGTGACTGTTCCAAGCGTCTATATACGGTAGTGAGTATCTATGGTGACATATCTATCCCCACAATCCGAATCAAATGCCAACGTTAAAAAATCGGAACTGAAAAAGCACGAAACAAGCTGAGCGACATGGGGCGCAAAGAACTTAATTGATGAGCAATTGCCTCTCGGCGATGAGCAAAGCCCAGCTATTCTCTGTTCGTTCAATAGCGTAATCGAAGTCTTCTCCTCAGAAGGCTCGATTCAGTAATACGCTGTGAGCAGATATGAGTTCGTTTGTCATCGTTGATGGCGACAAGAACGGAACATGAAACCGCATTGAACAGCCGGGCCATCCGACGATCTGCTCGCGGTGCTCTCACGATATAGCCGGAATTCTCCTGCGCGATCCGCTATCCATACCCGTTCGCGAGGAGTCAGCTTGAAGACGCGGAAGAGGCGAAAGTCCCTCTTCAGGGTGCGCCGGTAGGAAGTCACGCACCAGCGAACACAGAGTTTCAGTGGCTGTTGGCGCGAAACACCTGTAGAGGACACCGACTGCAACTGGGTGGTGGAGTTAGGCAGAAGCCAAGAGCAATTATAGGAATATGGAACAAAAAAGAGTTAGTAGGATTCTGTTGGGCAAAGCCGGGAATCGGGCGAAGCCGAACGTTGGCTACACTGGCCAGTGCTAAGCAACAAAGAAAGAGAACTCGAACATCACGAAGTGAGTCTGTGGCAGATAAAGGAAGAGAAGTAGATGGCTTATTGTCAAAAGCTGATTGAGCGAGCTCCTCATTACGTTGAACTAAAGCAGCAACTCTAGACTGAGAATTCGTGAGCTCGGCTTTCGTTTGGTCTACTTTGAGAGAGTTCAGCGATTCGCTGTTGCCAGAGGATCAGTCGAAAGAGGAGGAGGAGGAACAGAAGCATCACAAGCCATAAGCTGAGCGTTAGTCCGGTGTAGTGGGGCATTGATACTGGAAGTGTCCAAGTCCTCCTCAGCTGTTGCAGGAGCGGGGCAACGGACGTTGACGTTGGCTTGAAAATAGCGACGTTGATTATGTTCGAGACTATAACTATCCTGTAAACCATATCCACCACTGACGCCACCCCCTCTCCTTTGGGGCCGGAAGGGTGCCTGATCTCGGAAGGGGGAAGGGGTAGCTTTCTATCAAAAGCGTTGACCGATAGCTCAGGCTGCCCAGGTCGAATAAGGTGGCCCGCAGTGGCCTCACTAAGTAGCTGCTCAACCATCTGGTGACGGCCTGCGCGAAAGTAGTGGGGTTGGCTAACTTCACAAAGAAGCGGATGTCCCCCTCCCCTCCCCCGTAGATTAGTGCGAAACTCTTCCAGTAGGCGCCCCTTCTGGGTGTGGACAGAACAGAACAGTACTGTCCGGCCGTTCTAAGTTGAGAACCCTATTAGCAAAGGAGGCTGCGGGTTCCCCGGGCTCCTGCCTACAAGGAAGGACAGCTTTTTGGCGAGCGACATATCGCTGCTGGGGGCTCTCGAAGAAGGCCTTGAGGTGATTAGCTAAGGGGTCGAAGTCCCTTACGATTCTTCTTTGCTGAACTCTTCGACTTTCTCGCGAGGCTACGTCGTGAAGGTGATCGAATCAAGAAGTTGGCCTTCTGCTCACTTGTGAGGGTTGATGGACGCATACGAATGACATCGGCCAACCTGCGCAACCACACGGAGAATTGGGCTCCCTCCTTGGTGGTCTTGGGAAAGGGGATCTTGAGGGAATCGGATTCAGGTCGCCAACATCGCGATGGTGGGGAGCGAGTCTAGACGGTCGCCTACCGCCAAGAAGGATTCGTTCAACTTGCACTTCAAAGAAGTAAAGGAAGGATGATCCTTTGCGCAAGGGTAGTCTGCGATCTCTCACCTCTCCACCTGAGCGATGGCCACCGACGCGGGTCACGAAGCGCTTTGGCGTGAAGGACGGAGGTATAGTCTACCTGTGCAAGCGAATCATCGAGGGGTGCAGTAAGTGCACCTGCATGGATAGTCTCGGGTGAAGGAGCAGGAGCTCCGATACTTACCGACTCCAAGTCCTGTGGAGGAGGCAGGTGCCGCCAACCAATGCAGGAGGCGAAGTCGATCCAGAAGATGTAGCACCGCTACGAGTAGTAGGCATTTGGAATGACAGACGAAATGTGGGGTGCAAGTGACGCTGGACCGTAGCTTTTATATGCCTTGGGTGCGAAAGCTCCTCCCACCGGAGAGATCAGGGGGTCAGAGGTCAGCGTGAACGCGGATACGTGTCATTCAAGAGGTTAGTTAAGAAAGAAGCGAGATGGGACGGGAAAGAAACTTGAATACCAACGGACAACATAAAATAAAATTGTTTTGAGAAGGTAGGGGGCGGATGATAAGGGTGGGAAATAATGAAATTATGCAATGTTCTGAAGGGAAACAGATGTTGTGAGAAACGGGGTTGAGGGAGAGGAGATAGCGTGCAGATGCGGAAGAGCTAAAGCGACGGCCAGGTCAAAAGAACTCTGCTTGGCTGCGCAAGCGCAGAGTTCGCCAGAAAGGTGGTTCTTGGGTAGACAGGTTAGTTGCTTGAAAGGTTGCAACCGAACGATTGGAGGACCTAGCGGGTCACGACAGAGTTAAGTGTGCTATTGGCGTGAACCGACAATGTTTTACTTACATAGAGACGTAACACTGCTGCAAAAAGGATCAAAGCTGGTTATATGACGCTGAGTAGAACAAGGTTAACTGCCTGAACATCTACTTGCGCCGTCGGATCTCTCGAAAAACTGCTGTAAAACTGCTACTCATTTATTCTTGGCTCAGGGGCTCGAAATAGCTGCACATTATTCTCACTTGAAAGTGTGGTATAACTTATTAGGACTGGCTGCTCATCTTGCTACTCAGGAAGTGGCTTGGCGTTTCCCGAAGGAGTATCCTCGTATTGAAGACCAATAGGCCGGCTTAATTCTGTGACTAAACTTGTAGTGCTGTTGTAGTGTTGGACGGCAAGGCACTTTCTGGCTAAAGGAATGATTCGCCGAAGAGAAGACCTTTTCCCAGAAACGAGAAGACGAAAGAAAGTTCAATAAGAAAAAAAAGGAGAAACGGTCAAGCAAAGTGCAACGGCTTGGGTTGAAATCGAGGGGAAGAACAAGATTAGCTAATAATTCAAAACAAAAAGGTCAGAAACAGGCTGTGAGTCCTAAGTTCAAACGTTTGAGCACAAAAGAAGCGTGACCATCCTCCAGAAAAACTGCGTGAAGCTGGCATGGAATTCGAACTTGTCATTGCAAAAAGAAAGCACAAAATGGTGACTGTTTGGGCCGTTTGGGAGCAAGACGCGCCGAGAATGTCCGCAAGGGACGATTCCCGACAAACGATTAAGGCGATCACGAATTCAAGTTCTAGGAAAAGGCATTAATTGTGAAAGGGAAGAAGCAAAGGCTGCTAATCCCAAATGAAGAATAGAAGAACCGCGGTAGTCAATAAAGGTCGAGCAAAATCGCACCTAGCCGCTGAGACTTCGACCTTTAAATCAAGGAGTGATTGCCCAAGGCAAACGAGGTAATAAATTTCATTGTCTTCTGCAGGCTCAGCAGAGTCGAAAAATTGATGGAACTGACCTGCCATCCACGATGTCTCACTCGCCGCTAACAGTCATATGGACGAGTTTTTGACCCCGCGTGCCAGCCGCTTCTGAATGTACACGAATAGCAGACAGATTTATTAGCAACACGAACGAGATCAATCAGCTGATGAGTGTTGGAAGAGATGGAGATCATCGAAGGGGACGACATCGAGGAGGTCGGCGACGAGTCGAACATTACTGCCGAGGGAGGAAACCAGATAACGAAAAGAAGCCTCGATCGGCTGTCGCAGACCTTAAATACTATGCGTGAGTTGAGTCACCAATATCGTACCCATAGCATTCCTCTAAGGAGATCTACAAGGGGATATCTCCCCTGGAATGGTTGGGTATAGCATACGGCACGTGGTAAGAACACTCACCATTTGTTGGAAATCCTTGAACTTTCGTCAAAGTGGTATACAGCTCCACGTGTCTACCTGTTGGTGGTTCTTATCATTCCTCACACAACAT